CTGATTTTTTTACTCCGATTTTTTGAGCCTAGTCCGATATAGTCACGATTTTTTTATATGAAGTGTATTTGCCGATTTGTATTTTTCACCCGATTTTTTTATCCAACTTCTTAAAATAAAAATGATTAGTTTTCGATTTCATGGTGAGCCGATTTATTGATAATCCCCGACTTGCTAACTATGGAATGCCCCAAACACCAGACCATTGAGTTAGGAGATACCCTCAAGAGTTACCTAAATACCCCCATTTGGTTGGTGAGCCAGGCAATAGGCACAGGGCAAGTTCATGTCATTTTTCAGAGCTAGATAAGGCCCAAGGGTGAGAAAAATGTGCCGCACGGTCACACCAAAAAAGGCCAATTGGAATAACAGTAATAAATTTCCAAGGCCTCCATTTGATGGTTCAAAGTGGAATGTACAAGGTTTGTATACCATGCTAGCATATTAGCTACAAATAGTTTGCTCGAAGCGACGCCAACTGTGTGATGTAGACAGGGAACGGCTGAGGAGTGTTAGTCTATATTACTAAGTTTAGTATTTGGATTTCAGACAGTTTGCTTGCAACTCGCCAACCCCCTTGATGCCAATAGCAATGGTTGATGAATGACGTTCCTTCCTTAACTTTTGTCGGAGCTGAGAGTGACTACATCCCCACCGAACTACCCAAAGAAAAGAAAAAGAAAAAAAAATAAAAATATTGGTGGAGCCATGGCTCACTAGAATATCTGTAAGTGAGAACATGCACCTCCTACATGAGAGACTAAGAATGATGAGATTTTGAAAGTCATTGACAAGATTTTGAAAGTCATTGACAACTTGTGTTCTTACTATTTTAACCAATAATATCAAGGAAAATTAAGGGGAAATATCATTTAATGAGTCAAAACCCCTTAATAAATCACTAAAGATATTTTAATTCGTTTCACTTAAGTATGTCATCAAAAAGTATATTAAAAAAATATCAGCATTACTTAGTTTTAGAGTTGGGAACCTTAAACTAAAAAAGGCATTTCAGTATTTTGATAGACTCTAAATAAAAGTGTAGTTATCTTTGATTTTGGATTTGATTTGGGACTCTTGGGAGGTTAAATTACTAAAATTTCTCTTGTACAATGTTTTCAACCTTAAAGTGTAGCAATTTGGACCAACTTTTTAAGATACTTTTTTAAAAATACAGTAATGAATTGAAAATTAAACAGGAAACACTATAATATTAATTTAGATCTCATAAGGAAATGTATATAATTTTGGCACAAAGAGGTCACAACTACTATTGATCGTTAGATGTAAAATCTGGAGACTAGGCATAATGTCCAACACAAAATTTCTCGATGATACATTTCGGTCCATTAAATATCACACCCACTAGCTAAAAATGATTGTGACCTTCTTGTACGAAAAGTAAATGTTGCAACTTTAAACAATTGAAGAAGGTGTATCTCAAAATCCTCTAGAAGATAGTATTTTGATATTACAGATCCCTCAAATTGATTATCTCAACTTTGAGATATATGAATATGAAAAAGAAAAAAGAGTTATGATCCTATGAGACCCTCCTACACCTATGTGTGTAGGACTCCAAAGGATCACCATTAAATTTGACACAGATCTCTAGAAAAGCCAAGTCCCTCACCCATGTGATAACTTATCTAGAGATCTGTGCCAAATTTAATGATGATCCTTTGAGGTCCTACACCTATGGGTGTGAGAGGGTCTCATAAGATCATTACTCAATGAAAAAATAAAAAATAAAAATAATTAAGTTCTAAAAATAGTGCATATTAACAAGCTACACGTGCCATCTATTTTCAATATATTAAATTGTTAGTAGACTTACTCAATTTATGGCATTTTTTAAATTTTAAATTTTATAGGATAAAAATAGATTTTAAATCCATCATAATACTTCATGGATCTGCATCTCTAAGCAAATTTTAGAGATGCGTCTTGCTTCTATAAGGAATTGTGCCCCCTTAAATGATATTTTTGAAAAAATAAAATATCATCCTTCTAAAATACTAATTTGCACATGAATTTTGGTACGAGTGTAAATAGCAAAACATGTGTAATTTCACTAAACTCTTTTGAGGAATGATCTCTAGGCCTGGTGGTCTAGGTGGAGTGGGTGTAACAATGTGTTAGTAAAATGTGTTCCAACACTTTCTTTCTACTACATGCTCGAATGGTATACCCCTCCCATGTACACTTACTTGCCAAGGTGAAATAGCTATTTAGCATAATTTTTAATCTAAAATTTTGGAATCCATATAGAAATCACAGTATGACTATTTTCACGAAAACTATTTTTTGAGTTATTTAATACTTAAATCTTGGCCTTTAAAAATTGGATTGGAATTTGTTCGGAGCATTATTTTTTCAGGCACATACAAAGTGTACGTTATTTTATTTTTTAGGGTTAATCACTAAATTCATCAGATTCATCGTTATCATCCAAGCCTTATCGCAATAAGTTTACAAAATTACATCCCAAAAATTATATTCATAAATATTATCCCTTATTCAAAAACCCTGAGCTGTTAGGTGAACTAGCCATCCTGGAAACTAGTTCAAATCAGCAATCTAGCTTAAAGAATTGGCGAATTAAATAAATAAAAAATTAAAAAAAGTTTAAAAAAAATAAAAAATAAAAAATATAGGAACCAGATGATCC